TCTTTACCCTTTACCATGTGTCCCTCTAAACAAGATATGTAGCTTTATCTGGTTTTACAACTGATATAGAAAAATGCTTCAAAAATTCATTTGCAACCTGTTTTTTTTATTTATTTATTTTTTGACAGGCAGAGTGGACAGTGAGAGAGAGAGACAGAGAGAAAGGTCTTCCTTTGCCGTTGGTTCACCCTCCAATGGCCGCTGTGGCTGGCGTGCTGCGGCCGGAGCACCGCGCTGATCCGATGGCAGGAGCCAGGTACTTCTCCTGGTCTCCCATGGGGTGCAGGGCCCAAGCACTTGGGCCATCCTCCACTGCACTCCCTGGCCACAGCAGAGAGCTGGCCTGGAAGAGGGGCAACCAGGACAGAATCCGGCGCCCCGACCGGGACTAGAACCGGGTGTGCCGGTGCTGCAAGGCGGAGGATTAGCCTGGTGAGCCGCGGCGCAGGCCTGCAACTTGGTTTTAAAACTTTCAAATCAGCTTTATTGAGACTGAATTTACATACATACAATATACTGAACTAATTTTAAACGTATGGGCTGAATTTCTATGAATATACTTATTTGATTGCCATCTCAGTCAACAAAAGGAGTATCTGTTTTCCCAACGTGTCTCCATGTAGTCCTCTGAAGTCAACACATGATGTGTACTCTTCAGAAGTTCTGTATGTTCTAGAATTTCATATGAATGATTTGAATCACATGGTACAAATTCTTTTCTGAATGACTTTCTGGATTTTTCCAGTCACCCTAATCTTGAGATTTATTTATATCTGTAGTTTCATTTTTTATTAAAATATTTTAGAGATTCATTTGTGTTCATGGGTTTATTCCCACTGATATATCAGAATATGAACCATCACTATTTTATACATTTTGAAATGAGAATTTGCATCAATGGTTCTTCAAATATTATGAATAATGCTGCTATGAACATCCTCATGTTTCCTGGTACAAAAAGAATAAAATTTCTCTGTGGTATGAGTAGAACTGTTGGATCATGGATTGCACACATGGGCGACAGACAACTAATTTACACATCCATCAATATTTAATGAGAATTTATACCAGAGAACTTTTTAATACAAAAGATCTTGATTGTCCATAGTCTAGTAGCCTCAAAAGCCAAAGTTTTGATAAGTTCATGATATGCTGTGTTCCTCTCACTAGAAGCAAGTGAAAGGAGCACTCTTGTTTCAGGCAACACCAATCTATCAGCAAGATAGAGAGGGTTAAGAGTACTTGTCAAAGAAGCAACCCTGCTGCAGGAGTTCAGAGTCATGCACTAGCTTTAGTTCTCCCAGTAACCTATATTTTCTTTTTAAAGATTTATTTATTAGAGAGGCAGCAGTAGAGAGAGACTTATTTATTTGAAAAGCAGAGTTAGAGAGAGGTGGAGAGAGAGAGAGAGGTCTTCCATCCAATGGTTCACTCCCCACATGGCCGCAAGCACGGCTAGAGCTACACTGATCTGAACTAGGAGCTTCCTTTGGGTCTCTCAAGTGGGTGCAGGGGGCCCAAGGACTTGGGCTGCTGCCTTCCCAGGCCACAGCATACAGGTGGATGGGAAGTGGAGCAGCTGGGACTTGAACCAGCATCCAGGTTAGATGCCAGCACTACAGGCAGTGGCTTTACTCGCTATGCCACAGCGCCAGCCCTGTAGTAACCTACTTTTTATTCAACAACACATTACTAAGTTCCTAATTTGAGCAACTCTGGCTTTATATTGTTTAAGAAAACTGGCGTTGTTCCTGCATCTTTGAAGCTTATTATATGGTGGAAAAAAACATTTTAAACGAACATAAAAGAAAAACTGTGGAAAATATGAAGAAAAAATAAGCACTCTTATAGAGTAAAATAGAGGGGGAAACCTAACTTTAAAATATGTAATTGGAGGGGGCCAGCACCGCGGCTCACTTGGTTAATCCTCCACCTGCAGCACTGGCATATATGGGCGCTGGGTTCTAGTCTGGGTTGCTCCTCTTCCAGTCCAGCTCTCTGCTGTGGCCCGGGAGTGCAGTGGAGGATGGCCCAAGTGCTTGGGCCCTGCACCCACATGGAAGACCAGGAAGAAGCACCTGGCTCCTGATTGGCGCAGCGCCGGCTGTAGTGGCCATTTGGGGAGTGCACCAACGAAAGGAAGACCTTTGTCTCTCTCTCTCTTATAACTCTACCTGTCAAAAAACAAAACAAAACAAAAGGTAATTGGAGGGGCCAGTGCTGTGGTTTATCAGGTAAAGCTGCCACCTACAGTACTAGCACCGGTTCAAATCCTGGCTGCCCCACTTCTGATCCAGCTCTCTGCTATGGCCTGGGAAAGCAGTAAATGACGGCCCAAGTCCTTGGGCTCCTGCACCTGCGTGGGAGATTGGGAAGATACCAGGAGCCAGAAGCTTCCTTGGAGTCTTCCAATGCGGGTTCAGGGGCCCAAGGACTTGGGCCATCTTCTACTGCTTTCCCAGGCCATAGCAGAGAGCTGGATCAGAAGTGATGCAACTGGGACACGAACTGGCATTGCAGGTGGCAGCTTTACCTGCGACACCACAGCGCTGGAGCCAATAAATAACTCTTAAAAAATTGGAGTCAGCATTGTGGTGTAGTGGGTTAAGCCATTGCCTGCAGAGATGGCATCCAATAAGGGCACTGGTTCGTCTCAGCTGTTCCACTTCTGATCCACTCCCATTAATCCGCCTGGGAAAGCAGTGGAAGATGGTCCAAGTAGCTAGGCCCCTGCACCCATGTGGGAGGCCTGGATGAAGCTCCTGGCTGCCTCAGCCCTGGCCACTGCAGCCATTTGGGAAATGAACCAGTGGACAGAAGGTCTCTATCTCTCCCTCTCCCTTTCTCTGTAACTCTGCCTTTCAAATCTTAGGGGAAAAAAAAAAAAAGAAGGAATGAGCTAGTCCAGTGAAGTCCATTCCTTTCTTAAGTGCAAAGGTGGGAAATGCAATCAGCAGAGCTGGATCTCCGTGATCTACAGATAGCCATACAAAAGGAAGTTGGTTAAAGGAGCAAGTGCCTTCTACTGAGAAATAAAGATGCAAGAAGCAAGATAGGGGTGACATTGTTCTCGTTTAGATATGCTAGCTTTGAAATGTCTATTAAAAATCTGAGTAGAGGGGGCTGGCATTGTGGCACAGCAGGTTAAGCCACGTCCTGCAGTGTTGGCATCCCATGTGGGTGCCCTGGTTCGAGTCCCACCCGGGCTGCTCCACTTCTGATCCAGTTCCCCACTTATGTGCCTGGGAAGGCAGTGGGAAGATGGCCCAAGTGCTTGGGCCCCTGCCATCCACTTGGGAGACCAGGAAAAAATTCCTGGCTCCTGGCTTGAGACCCAGCCCTGGCTGTGGTGGCCAGTTGGGGAGTGAACAGTAGATGGAAGATCTAATGCTGCCTTTTAAATAAATAATTTTTTTTTAAAGAACAAATATAAGTAGAAACATGAGGTAGGCAGCTGTATGCGTTAGGTATGGGGTTTTGGGACAGATATAATTTCATCTGCCAAAGAAAAGAGGGCAATCACGGAAGGAAGAAGAGAACAAAGTTAAGACTACTTCATTACCTTCTCCGTGTACTCTAGTAAGTTGCGTCCTTTCCTTAGGTTTGTTTGGAACATGAACAACTGAACTTGATTTCCAAAGTCTCAAGTTCTGCAAAGGTGACCATTATTGCTCTAGGACTAACTGTAACCACCCTAACCTCATCCTAAGACACAATCAAACATAGAATACTGGGTGACTTAAGACAAACACCTTGTAGCTAGGGTTGGGACCCTCAATCCAAGCCCTTCATTCTACAGAAGGACGAAGTTCCAGCACCCAGCCGTGAGCAAATAAGCCCATCCCAAGACAAAGTTGTTGCTCAACTTAATCAAGTTCGAGCAAAACCGTACAGAAGGCAGAGAAAATCTTATTCTCGTCCCGAAAAAAACATTGGAGGAACCAGGTTTATCTCGTGTCCTAAGGACCTACCTTGGGGGCATTGTGTCCCACAGGGACATGAGGTCCCCTTCTAGATTTCATAGCAAAGCGCATGATTTGCCTCTTCACAAAAATAAACAGCAGTACAAACACCTGTCCGAAAAGAGAAGTAAACAATCTTTAATAAAAAGACAGAAAACAAACATACACGCCCTCATTCCAAATCCCCAGAGTCGGGCTCCCAGGGATGCTTCAGGGTAAAACTTTGGAGAAAGCAAGGCCATCTTTAAAGATGAGGATGGACTTTGGGAAGCTGGTAGCGAGGAGCGTGGGGTTCTCGGTTAGGGCAGGTTGGTAACTTAAGCTCCCAGGTAACCCCTGAGATAAAGTCAAAGCCCAGAAAAAGCGCCGGCTAAGTGGGAAGGGGAGGACAGGCACAGCTTAACAGCAGTCTCTCTTGGGTCCGACGCGACAACACAAATGGGGATTATGGGGGGGTCTCCTCACCAGACTCCCGTAGGCCATCACCAGCACGACATTCACCCCAGACAGCCAGCTACTGCTGGACGCCATGGCCTCCCTACCCTGCGCAGACCTGCTCAGGTTTAATCCGCTCCCCCTCCTCGTCAGCCCAGGTTGCGCCAAAGCAACGGCGCATGGGTCTCCTGGACTTCCTCGGCCATTTCCTTACGGAGGAAGACCAAGCCAGAACCGGCCTGAAAACATGGCGGACGGGGGGGTGGTTAGGAAAGGGGAACGACGCATTCCCGCTTCCCCCGCCACGTGACTCCGGCGAGCAATAGCACCCGCCAGCGGCCAGTGCGGAGACGCGGAACTACGCCAGTAAGAGGAAGCGGAGTCTGTCCGCGCGTCACGTGGTAGAGGCGGGGCTGCGGCGGAGGCGGGGCGGACGCACGGAGTCGGAATGCGGTGTCTCGTGGCGGGGCGGCACGCGCACGCGTACGTGCGCGTCCCTTTTCGCGTCACGTGCCGGAGGACGCAGGAAGGCAAGTGGGAGGGAGAAGGCGCGAGAGCGAGCGCGAGAGGGAAAAGGGGGGGTGGGGAGGAGGGAATCTTATGTCACGTGACAGGGGCGGCGCGGCCCGGGGTGTCAGTGTGGAGGAGACTGAGGTAAAGTTGGGAGCGCAGCGGCGTTGGCGGCGGCGGCGGCGGCAGCGGCAGCGCGGCGGGGCCGGGTATTGTCCGCGGCCCCTTTAAATCCGCGATTCCCCCCCCTTTTACCCTCCCTCCTTTCTCCCCTACCCCCGCCGTATCCCCCTCCCTCGGTAGACCCCCCCGCGCCGTGTGTTCCCCACTGTACACCCCCACTCCTAGTCATGCGAGCCCTGGCGGCCCCCCCCCATGTCGAGTCGGCCGCCGGAGGTTTTGTTTATGGTTGGGTTCGCGGCCTAGTGGGCCGCGCTAGAGCCGGGGCCTCGATTTGGGAGCGTGGCCGGGGCGGGGCTTGGGGCAGCCGGAGGGGGGGGCCATGCGGCTAGGGCCTGAGGGGGGAGAGCGAGAAAGAGCGCGAGCGAGCGAGGCCTGGGCCCTGCCCAAGGTAGGGTCCTCTCTACCCCAGCTGGTGCCTGTGCAGGAGGAGAGGGCCTCCTCCCTTCCCTACCCTCTGCGGGCCTCCTCTGATCCGGATCCGGCCTGGTTTGGGGGTGGCGGGGGGAGGGAGGGCGATGGGGTGGAGCTGCCCCAAACTCCCCCATGTGGCCCTCAGTTTGGAGTGCGGAGGATTAATTTGTTCCGGGTGGGAGGTAGGGAGGCGATTGGCCCCGTGTGTTCCTGATGTGGCGCTGAGGGGGGTGAGCCTCCCATCCTCCACGCGTGGGCTTGCGTCCCCTCTCCGTTTCCAGTCTCTTTGTCATCTCCTGTTATTTCCTTTTCCTTCTTTCTCACCGACCAAGCTCTTTGGAATATATTTTTGCTGCTGTCTTTAGCTTCCGGTTGTCTATACTGTAGTTTTGGGTAACCCCAACAATTATGTTATTTGGGAAGCAGGACGTGGAGGCCCCCATAGGGTGTATTACGCTTGAGGGACGTCACTAGAGTACTGGGCATTTGTTCATTCTTCTTATAATGGGACAAGAATTCCAAATTTCTTCAGACCCTTCATCTTACGAACAGCCGCTAAATTGCTTTGTAAACTGATGTCACAAACATCAATGGAAACATCCTTTTCCACCCTCTTGAAGTGTAGCCACCTCTGGTGTAGGATGTTGGGGAAAGAAAAACACCGCAGTAACAGGCGTTTTTGTTGTTATTGTTAACGTTTTTGCTTTTGACTCTTCCCAATTATTAAATAGAGAAATCTTTTTTTTGTCTTCTCTCCCTGTCCGCCCTCCACCCCCATATCCTGCTTTGGGGATATCTGATGTGACTTGCTCAGAAGTGATGAGGGTTGGTGATAACCAACCTTGCCAGAGAATTAAAACATTTTGGCTGTGTATCAGCTGAAAAACTGCCTTGAGATCGTACATCACTGTCCTTAAAGATTAGACTGTCCCAATGATTGTTTCCATCGCTGGGTGGGAAGTGTTGCTGCATGTAGTAATGAAAGGCCTAAAAATTATAACTTATGTTTTTGATTTTAAATCCTCTTAAGTGATCCTAACTGGCAAGTACTCTTATTAGATTTAGTGTGGTGGGGAGAAGGATGCAGGGGTCATTTCAACAAAGCATCTAGAGATCTTAATTGTTCTGTTAGTGGTAGCAAGCTTTTCTCACCCCAGTCCAGCCTCAGAGTTTATGAATCGTCTCTCAAACTAGATTGTAAGCTCCCTGAGGGCAGCAACCAAGTCATACTGCTTTTGTATTTCCTGAAGTGTTGGACATATAGTAGATACTCAATAAATACGTATTATTTATTTTTTTCAGTAAAATTTCTCTGGCTATTTTTTTAAGTAGCTGGTTTTCACAATATAGTTAAGGGCACTCTTATACTGAAATCTGATTTGCTTCTCTACTGTCCCCTTGGTCTCCAGTATTTCTCACTCCAGTTCCCTTAAATGTTTTTATTTTCTAAGAAAAAGAGTCTTCATCCCCATTGTAACAACTGGGTATGTGACCCTGCTTGCTCTGCAAGTCTACTATTGCTGTGCCCTCAAGTGTTCATCCCAGATCACTTACTTTTGACCTGTTGCTTAGTGTGGTTGCTACCTATGTGGTAAAGTTCTTAGTCACACGTTTCAGGCTGGTAAGAGGGAAAGAGACGTTAATAGTGAGAGTGATGAGGAAGCTCCCCCCCCTTCCTGTTTAATTATGTGTCTTTCAACGTGACTTTTTAATATATTTATATCGGACTGGGTTGCTACATACAGTTTACATAGCTAGTCATGGAGTCTTAACTCATTCTTACAAATTGATACCACATGTGAATTAAGAAACAGTCAGTATTTAGAAGTTATAGGAATGGGTTGGAAACGACTACTCTATCAGAAGCTTCATCTTAGAGCCAGTTTTAAACAGTAGTTTTTCTCAAATTTTTTTTTCCCCCTCATTGCTTTGGGTACTTGGTTGAACACTTGTTTTATGTAAAATAGGTGTGGAAACTTGACCATAATGCCAGCTTGGGGAAATGGGCTAATGTGTGGCAAATAATCCTGTACTAGCCTGAAATATACATAGGCCTTTGTGTGCACATGTGTGTAGAAAAAAGAGGTAATGATTAAAAATTAGCTCTGCTGATGCCTTAAAACATCTTTCTTAGTGATCATGTTAAACTCTTTGTTCTTAATGATCCATCAAAAAACAAAGACAACCTATTGACACAACTTGATGAAGAATTTATCCACAGGGAAGTCTGCTTTCTCTGTGCCATCCAAGAAACAGGTGAAATTCACTTTCTTAGTAATTAGTCCTTGCACAATTCCTTAGAAGTGCACCCAACCTCTCCTTCAAATCCAGCACTATCTCCTGAACAGTCTAGAATAACTCTGTATAGAATTTCATTAATGAAATATAAATATAGAGCAAAAAAAGTATAAACTTGTCCACTTTGGAAGGGAATAAAACAATGCAAAATAACTTATTTGAACAGTCCTTATCATATGATGAATGTTTTCATTGTTTACTAAATTCAGCTGAGGTTGCATTATCAAATGAAATATGAATGATGGGAACTTGAATTCAAATTCAGTAGAATTAATGCTTGTTAGAAGTGTTGTAACAAAAACTGTTCTGGTTGTAGGAAGACCCCTGTGTGAGGTCTCTTTAAATATTCAATTTGTTGGTGTTAATGTCCCAAGTTCAGATGATTTTCTAGAAGCCCTTTCTTCCAAATAAAACTTTGTGTTAGATGCTTTTGGTTTGGGACAGGTTTGGGATTCCTTGTATATTAAGGTGAGTGGTGGAGGGTTTTTGCAATTCTGGTTTCTTGAAAATATGGGCTAGGAGACAAATATAAGCACCTGGGAAAAGCTTTGATTTGGGATTATCCTAGGAACTGAAATTCTGGACAAAGTCACTGGCACTAACACTTTTTTTTTTTTTTTGAAAAGCCAGCATACTGTGATATAGAACTTTAAGGAGAAAGAGGCTTGAATTGAACTTGTCCTTTCCAAAGCAGTAGAGGTCACATAGAATTTATGTAAAATAGTTGTAAGAGAGATGAAGCTATTTCCTTGGGTATTTTAAATTGTTATTTGGAGTTTAAACTAATCCTCTTCTGGAAGGCATTTGTTTCCAGACTCTGCTGATTATCTGCCCTTTTGTCAAAGGACTTCAGATACTTTCACTCATAGAAGGCTTTTGATTTATTAACATTGTTTTACTTACTATAAAAGTTAAAAAGCCTGAATATAGGGGGCTAGTTACCAAATCGTGGCCCTGATTTCTTAAAACAAAAACCACTTACACTTGCTCTATACCTTTCTTGTTATACAAAACTAGATTAATAGCCATGGTTCCTTTAAGAATTTATCAAACCAAGTATGTCTCAAAAACAGGCAGATCTTTTGGTTTATTCCTTTAAAGAAATCAAAGTGTATAGTGGTGAAGGTGCCACTGGAAGAGAGGTTAGAAACATATTTTGCTCACATTTAACACCTAAACTCTTTTTTTAATCTTTCAGTATTCTACTTTGTAAATACTGTTATTTGTATATACTGTAAATGATGACGTCGGTGGGCACTAACCGAGCCCGGGGAAACTGGGAACAACCTCAAAACCAAAACCAGACACAGCACAAGCAGCGGCCACAGGTAAATAAATACTCCAGCGGTATGGATCCATGAGTAGCATTACCGGCTAATACTGGTTTCTATGCAATAAAGCATCATTCTTTGTTTTGGATTGTTGATTTAGCTTCCTTTTTCCTGTTTGTAGTCCTTGACTCTTTTTTTAATCTTAGGACCTGATAACGGTTAATAACGTGCTAGGATGCAGCATGATCACTTTGTTGTCATTTAATACTTCATTGTTAGTAAAATAACGTTTTACTTTGGGTCCTCTGCCTTTTCTCTTATCTATGCTGTTTTAGCAATATATTTATTTCCTAGACCTTCCACTGTGACATCTCTCTAGCCAGCTTTTGTGTTTACATTTATCCCCATCCAGATTTTATCTTTTGCTCCTCTTTTCTATATCTTCCTCTCGGTCTCACTGAGGCTTTACCTGATTTTTCTTTTCCCATGAGGAGCTGGCATCTTTACTATGTTCCTTCAAAATTAACAAATGAGGCACCCTAGAGCATTTAATTTAAGGAGTAAATTAACCTCACTGGTACTAAGTTTGATTTAGATATGATCTGTTTTCCATAACCAGTTTGGTGTTAATTGGTACCTAATATGAATGAATTACTTAATTTGGCTATGGTCAGAAAAAATGAACATGTAAGACTAGAACTTCCTCCTTGTTCATTTTTTTTCACTTCTGTATCCAAGTGAATTTATAGAATTTTAGTACCTAATCTCAGTTGAGACAGTCAAATTCCTGATGTTGTATTAATATACACTGGATACTCTGAAAATATGTTGAATCTGGGGTGGGGATTTAGCCTAGTAGATAAGATGCCAGCCATTTTGGAGTACCTGGGTTTGATTCCTGCCTTCAGTTACTGATGCCAGTTTCCTGCTAATGTAGACCCTAGGATGCAGCAGTATGGCTCAAGTAATTGGAATCCTGCCACCCATGTGGGAGACCTGGATTGATTTCCCAGTCCAGCCCTGCCATTGTGAGCATTTGAAGAGTGAGCCAGCCGTTGGGTCTCTCTCTGTCTGCCTCTAAAATAAATAAACAAATTTTGAAAAGATGTTGACTCTATCCTCAGACTAAATGTTATGACATTCCCTGCCCTGGGAATAAGAGTGGCAACGATGATTGCAGAAATAGAAATAGGGCTTATGGATAACTTTGCAAATAATGTGAATTCAGAGTGGTGTTATAATTTCCAGCATGAAGGCCCCTTAAACTACTCTGCCCATTTTGGGGTTGACTAGTGAAATAGTGACCATTTCACTGTTTTTTGGTCATTTTGCAGATGTAAGCATTTTTTTTTTAAGATTTATTTATTTGAAAGCTTGAGAGGCAGAGACAGAGAGGTCTTCCATCCACTGATTCCCTCCCAAATAGCCTTAATGGCTGGAGCTGTGCCAATCTCAATCCAGGATCCTGGAGCTTCTTCTGATTCTCTGACACGGATACAGAGACCCAAGGACTTGGGCCATCTTCTATTGCTTTCCCAGGCCATTGCAGGGAACTGGATCAGAAGTGGAGCAGCTAGGACTTGAACTGGCACTCAGAAGGGATGCCGGCACTGCGGACAGCAGCTTTACCCACTATGCCATAGTACTGACCCCCGATTTAAGCATCTTAAACAGTTCCTTACTACTTAATCACTTGGAATAAGGAAAAGGAGACTGGGGCAGTAGGGAGGGTACAGATTGACAATATAGGTGATTCTTATTTCTCTAAACTGTTAGCTCTTAATTATGCTTTCTTGATCTCATCAAATTCCTAGGCTACTGCAGAACAAATTCGACTTGCACAGATGATTTCGGACCATAATGATGCTGACTTTGAGGAAAAGGTGAAACAAGTGAGTGTACCACTGATTTGCTGTAATCAATGGGAAAAGATACGGGGATTAAAGCATAATTCAGCATCATAGATGCCCACCATGATACTTTATAGTATAAGTATTGAAAGAATTATGATCTGAAGTGTAATAAGTCAGGCCAGTAAATAAGTGCTTTCGTTGTACCCCTTAGATACCTTGCTCAAAGAAGTTTTACTTTTAACTTATGTTTATTGAATGACTTTTTGATGTTTTTATAGTAACTTTGAGCAGTTGTAGATTTCCCGAATATGGAAATTCAGGGTATGTGAAAGCCTGTGTGTGTCTATGTTTGGTTCTTGAGGTTTTGGTTCTTTTGAGGCTTAGTAGTTTGATTACTTTGTAAATACTTTTGACACTATTCCCAACCAGGTTAACATTAATATTTTGCTTTTAGCACTAGAATTCCAAAAATCTGTTTTTGCTTTTGAAGCCTGGTTCTTTAAAACCCAGCTGGTAATCTTCTCCCTTCACTTTTCTTTTGTGTGGTGTGCAAGCTTGTTCATGATGGTTGTTGATCTTTCTCTTTCAGTTGATTGATATCACAGGCAAGAACCAGGATGAATGTGTGATCGCTTTACATGACTGCAATGGAGACGTCAACAGAGCCATCAATGTTCTGCTAGAAGGAAACCCAGACACGGTAGAGTGCTCATAAACAGTTCTAGAATGTGGGTCCTTGGTTGGGAGGTTAGTAATATCCTAAAAAGGCAAGTTGGGTAACTCACCTTAAAGCAGAGTACCTCACTTTCCAAAGAATGGACAGAACTTCCTTGGAGAATTTTTGCTGTAGGTTTCAAATACTTAAAATTTGTATATATTACATTCTCTACATGGAAATAATAGTAATAGAGGGAAAAAAGTGAAACCAGTCTCTTGTAATTGGCCTGTAATAGCATATTTGTTCCAGTTGAGGGTTTTTTTTTTTTTTTTTAACTTTTATTTAATGAATATAAATTTCCAAAGTACAGCTTATGGATTACAATGGCTTCCCTCCGAGGGGTTGTTTTTAAGGTGTAAGTTAGAGGTGCTATTTGATAACCTTGGGTTTTAAATCATGGAAGATTTCTTCCTACCTTTAGATTGCTCTTTGTACAAATACTCTGCTTCTGGATTTAGGGTGTTTCCATCAGTATCGCCTTCATATTGCACAGTACTATTCAGTGCTTCAACTTCTGTTGAGGTAGCAGAGAAGCAAGCTTGATAGCCTGTTGACCATTCCTAGAGGTGCTCTCACCTTTTCTGCTTCCCACTTAATGAGAATTCTGTTTCTGTATTTATCTTTTTTTTTTTTTTTAAGATTATTTATTTGAAAGAGTTATGCAGAGAGAGAAGGAAAGACAGAGAGATAGAGAAAGAAAGGTCTTCCATCTGCTGGTTCACTTTCCAGTTGGCTGCAATGGCCAGAGCTGCGCGGATCTGAAGCCAGGAGTTTCTTCCAGGACTCCCACGCGGGAGCAGGTGTTAATTGGTCCTTGGGCCATCTTCAACTGCTTTCCCAGGCCATAGCAGAGAGCTGGATTGGAAGTGGAGCAGCTGGGACATGAACTGGTGCCCATATGGGATGCCAGCATTGCAGGCGGCGGCTTTATCCACTGTGGCACAGTGCTGGCCCCTCTGTACTTGTCCTTTTTTTTTTACTAAGATTTTATTTATTTATTTATTTGAGAGAGTTACAGACAGTGAGAGGGAGAGCCAGAGAGAAAGGTCTTCTGTCTGTTGGTTCACTCCCCAAATGGCTGCAATGGCCGGAGCCGCACCGACCTGAAGCCAGAGGCCAGGTGCTTCTTCTTGGTCTTGGCCATCCTCTACTTGGGCCAGAACTGGTGACCATATGGGATGCCGGCGCTGTAGGCGTAGGATTAACATACTGCGCCACAGCGCTGGCCCCTGTACTTTTGTCTTTTTTTTTTTTTAAAGACACACACCAAGTTCTCAGATCTTGGTCGGTCTCTTTTTTTTTTTGACAGGCAGAGTGGACAGTGAGAGAGAGAGACGGAGAGAAAGGTCTTCCTTTTGCCATTGGTTCACCCTCCAATGGCCGCCACGGCTGGCGCACTGCGGCCGGTGCATCACGCTGATCCGAAGCCAGGAGCCAGGTGCTTCTCCTGGTCTCCCATGGGGTGCAGGGCCCAAGCACTTGGGCCATCCTCCACTGCCTTCCCGGGCCACAGCAGAGAGCCGGCCTGGAAGAGGGGCAACCGGGAAAGAATCCGGCGCCCCGACCGGGACTAGAACCCGGTGTGCCGGCGCCGCCAGGTGGAGGATTAGCCTATTGAGCTGCAGCGCCGGCCCCCTGTACTTGTCTTAATACCAGGTTGTATTCCTCTTAAGAATAAGGACTCTACTTTATTAATCTTTGGGATGTTCCTGCAGTGCTTAGGAGAGAACTTTATTTTTTTAAATGAGCAGTGACCAATTTGAAATCTTGTTCAATTTCTTGGTCTTACACTGGGAATCTTTGGTTGAGATGGATACCAGAGTTCATCCTTAGAAATAATAATTTTCTGATGTTAGAGTCACATCAGCTAATGTCAGAGGTTTGTTAGTTTCCTTGAGACAAAGGGAAATACTAGTGGAAAACTTAAAAAAAAATTGAACTGAAATTGTGGAGGGGCCAGCTCCGTGGCTCACTTGGTTAATCCTCCACCTGCAGCGCTGGCATCCCATATGGGCGTCAGGTTCTAGTCCGAGGGCATAGCAGAGCTGGATTGTAAGAAGAGCATCTAGGACACATACCGGCTGCCCACATGGGATTCCAGCACTACAGGCAGAGCCTATTACTCTACAGTGCTGTACCCCGAATTTTTTTTTTTTTTTTAAGATTTATTTATTTTATTTGAAAGGCAGAGTTACAGAGAGGCAGAGAGAGAGAAATATTCCATCTGCTGGTTCACACCCCATATGGTGACAACAGCCAGAGCTGAGCCAATCCGAAGCCATAAGCCAAGAGCTTCTGAGTCTCCCATGTGGGTGCAGGGGCCCAAGCACTTGGGCCATCTTCCACTGCTTTCCCAGGCCATAGCAGAGAGCTGGATTGGAAGTGGAGCAGCTGGGACTCCAACAGGCAGCTGTATGGGATGCCGACACTGCAGGCAGCGGCTTTACCTGCTATGCCACAGTACTGGCCCCTCATATGTTTTTTTTTTTTTTAATAATTCTTTTATTTATTTATTTATTTGAGAGGTAGAGTTACAGACAGTGAGAGATGAAGAGAGAGAGAGGTCTTCCATCTGCTGCTTCACTTTCCAATTGGCAGCAACAGCTGCCAATCAGCTGTGCCGATCCAGAGACAGGACCCAGGTGCTTCTTCGCGGTCTCCCAAGCACTTGGACCATCTTCTGCTTTTCCAGGCTATAGCAGAGAGCTGGATTGGAAGAGGAGCAGCTGAGACTAGAACTGGCGCCCATATAGGATGCCAGAGCCACAGGTGGAGGATTAACCTGTGCCAGGGTGCCGGCCCCAGAATGTGTTTTTATATGAGTTACATTTTGTTTCAGCTTCCAGTGTCTTCTATCTAGTACTACAAGTTTGACTTTCCACAGTATTAAAAAGGAAAAGATGGAATATATAGTATGCCACAGGTAGACCAGCTACCAGTAAAACTAGTGGGAAACAGTCAGCTGCCAGGGATGCAGGATGTATTTGGTTAGGTGAGATCATATCAGAAAACTGGTAGTGCCTTTGGGAAGGTCATGGTAATTTTTCCTTATAGAGCTCATCTGGTGCCAGCAGCTGATGTATACACAGAGGAGGGAGAAAGGTGACAGATTAAGTGTAGTTTCTGTGGTTCCTGGTACAGATTTGGCTATAGGGTTATAATTTATTTACTTTTAAATATTTATTTATTTGAAAGCAAAGTTACAGGCAGGCAAAGGCAGAGAGAGAGAGGTCTTACATCCACTGTTCACATCCCCAAGTGGCCACAGTGGCCAGAGCTGAGACAATCCAAAGCAGGAGTTTCTTCCTGGTCTCCCACGGGGGTACAGGAGCCCAAGGACTTGGGCCATCTCTGCTGCTTTCCTACGTCATAGCAGAGAGCTAGATCAGAGTGAAGCAGCCGGGACTCAAACTGGCATGCCTATGGGATGCCGGGGACTACAGGTGGCAGCTTTATCCACTGTGCCACAGTGCCGGCCCCAGGGTATAATTTATTAACTGAGGCTACTGTGAGCATATATGACCCACCAGCTATAATGTAGAATAAAGTTTGGTTAGAGATAGGCAGCAAGGAATTGCTGAGTCCTAGATAGACTTTATTAATTTAGTAAACTATTTATTGGAGATTCTTTAGAAATGCACTTGTACTTCTATTATAATTTTAAAAAGGAACCAGCGCCGTGATGCAGTGGTTAATCCTACGCCTGTGGCGCCAAAATCCCATATGGAACGCCGGTTCTGGTCCCAGCTGCCCCTCTTCCAGTCCAGCTCCCAGCTGGGCCTGGGAAAGCAGTAGAAGATAGCCCAAGCGCTTGGGCTTCTGCACCCGCATGGGAGACCGGGAAGAAACACCTGGCTCCTCTGGCTTCAGATCGGTGCATTGGAGGGTGGACCAACGGAAGGAAGACCTTTCTCTCTGTCTTTCCCTCTCACTGTCTGTGGCTCTACTTCTCAGATAAATAAATAAAATCTTAAAGAGAAATTCATTTATTTCAGAGGTAGAGTTATGGTTGAGGGGGGAGAGATAACTTGCACTGGTCCACTCCCCAGTTGGCTACTGTGGCTTGGGCTCAGGCCAGGCCAAAAGCCAGGAGTGGGGAACTCCATCCTGATCTCCCACCGAGTACAGGGGCTAAGCACTTGGACCATATTCTGATTTTCCAGGCACATTAGCAGGAACTGGATCCTAAATGGAGCAATTTGGACATGAACTGGCACCCATATAAAATGCCAGTGTGCAGTTGACTGCATAACATGCTGTGCCACAGTGCTGGCCCCTCTCATAATTTTAAGTTATTTGAACTTTAAAACTTAATTTGGTATAGTATGCACAAGATTTACCATTTTAACCAATTAAGAACATTTATTATTATTTTAAAATTTATTTATTTGAATGCAGAGATAGTGATTGAAAGAGAATATGCATGGACCCAAGTACTTGGGCCATCTGCTGCTGCTTTACCAGGCACATAAGCAGTGAGCTGGATTGGAAGTGGAGCAGCCGGGACTTGAACTGGCACCCATATGGGATACTGACATCAGAGAAGGGAGGCATAACCTTTTATGCCACAGTGCCAGGCCCAAAAACATTTGTTGTTTGAGAGCAAGATGAATGACAATCTCCCACCTGTCAGCTCACTCCCCAAATGCCTGCAGCACCTAAAGCTGGGCTAGGCTGGAACTCCATCCAGGTCTCCCACATATGTGACAGGGACTCAAACCAGCACCCATATGGATGCCGGCACTGCAGGCAGTGGCTTTACCCGCTATGCCACAGTGCCGGCCCCTTGTTATTTATTTTAAATATTTATTTATTTATTTGAAAGGCAGAATTATAGAGTGAGGGGGAGAGAGAAGGTCTTTATCTGCTGGTTAATTCCCCGACTGGCCGCAACAGCAGATGTGCTGATCAGAACGCAGGAGCCAAGACTGCTTCCAGGTCTCCCACATAGGTGCAGGGGCCCAAGGCTATAGGAGAGAGCTGGAGCAGAAGTGGAGCAGCTGGGATTCCAACCGGTGCCCATATGGGATGTC